TAAATAGTGAAATCATGTGCATTATTTTAACATACCACTGTGATACCAGTCATAATGTATACATTTATTGAGATATCAGTTGGTGTCCCATATGCACGTAGAACTTTAAATTAATAATAAAATTTTGAAAAGGTTATAAGATGGAAGAAAGTATTTTGTTTGTTGAAAAATATTCGTTTGAATAATCAACACAAAAGTTATGATAGTGCAATCTCCAGGGAAGATAGTAATGTGAGCGGAGAGGAGAATTTATCTGTTCCATATAAGGGCATATATATATATATACACATATACATGCATACACACGTTTTCAGATTTATGTATGCATATACAGAAGTATAGATGAAATTACTAAAATTACATATATTTTAAGAGAGAAAAATTATATAACTTATATATCAATTTGTGTTGGAAATAATTCACAAAATGTAAAGTCATTCTTTCTTTTAAAGAAAGAAAGAGACAAGAGTGTAGGAAACTCAGTGATATCTCCATGCAAGTGGTAAAGACACAGCATACAGCTAAAGAAAGGAAAAACAATTTGGTATGTTCATGAGAAATAAAGAGGTATTCCCAATGGAGATAGAATCTCTATGGGAAATAGTAAATTAAAGGCATTTTTAAAAATGTTTTAAGCATGTCAATTTTTATTTGATTTTGAAAGGCAGACAGAGACAGACCTTCCATCCACTGGTTCATGCCCCACATGCCTGCAAAAACTAGGTCTGGGCGAGGCCAAAGCCAAAAAATTGGGAACCCAATCTGGGTTCTAAAGACTCAAGTACTTGCTTTTGCTTTACAGGATGTGAATTAGCAGGAATCTGCAATTGGAAGTGGAGCTAAGACACAAATTCAAGCACTTTGATGTGGGGTGCGGGAATACCAAGTGAAATCTTAACCACTGTGCAAAAGTTGTTAAGTTCTGATGTCCTCTTATAGTAGGGACATAATTTTATTTGGGGCATTTTCATCACTTTACATCTATTTTATATTAGAACAGTTTGTGATCTTAAAAAGTAGAGTGAATTTCATCAGTACTTTGGTTTCCTAAACAATTGCTATTTTTTTTAATAAAAATTACTGGTGAACATATTTATTGACATACGCATTGAATTAATTCAAGTGCATATGTATTTATGTATTTTCATACATATATTTAAATATTTTTTTATTTATTTGAAAAGCAGAGTTACAGAGAGAGAGGGAGAGACAAATCAAAACAGAGATCTTCATCTGCTGGTTCACTTCCCAAATGGCTACAAATGTCAGAGTTGGTCCAGGCAGAAGCCAGGAGCCAGGACTTTCTTCCGGGTCTCCTACTTGGGTAACAGGAGCCCAAGCACTTAGGCCATCTTTTGCTGCTTTCCAAGCACAGTAGGAGGAAATTGGTTAGGAAGTGAAATAGCTGTGACCTGAAACGTGGCTCATATGGGATGCCAGCATTGCAGGTGGCTACTTAACCAGCTATGCCACAATGCTGGCCTCCATACATACTCTTAAATTGAATGAAAAATTTTTATTCCTTATGTCCTTTACTATCCAAATATGAATTAATCTCAGCATGACTTGTTTTATAATTTCAACTTGAATCAAACATTTAGTATATAGAACAAGTATAAGCTCATTAGACTTTTTCAAACACCAGGAATATATTTTAGGGAATAAAAATGTTATTACCATCTTCCATATATTTAAGTGTTCTTTGGTAATAGCCAAACTGAGAATTTATCTTCTCAAATGAAGAAATAATCTTAAAAATGAAGATAATAGCATTTGGCACTCTTCAGTGGAAGGAAGGTTTACACGGCCTTCAGTGATCCAAATGCTTCTCACCCTTTGATTTCTTCGACAACATTTGTCCATACCATGTTCTTAGGTACATGGACAAATCTTTTTTGAAAACAACTCATGAAATGAATGCATCTGGTATTATGTTAGTTTTTTATGGGAATGGCTACTTCTATACTTTGATCAAATGTATTCTGTTAGTGAAGTATCTCTGGTACTGTGTGTACTATTTTTATTCACTTTTTCTTTAAGATTCTAGGCAAAAGCATTCTATTATCCAATTTTAAATAAGTGCTACTTTTTGTACTATTTGTATTATTCTGTTTTCCAAAAATCATTATCCTACAAACATTTTTCTCTTTAAAACTAAAACCACTTTCAGGCATGGCTACTAAAATTTTGTCATTTAACATCTGGTACTTAATTTTCTACATCATAGGGCAGTGTGTCTTCCACTCTTACATCGCTTAGGATAGCACTGTATAAGAATCCCTTTTACTTAATACCAATTACGTTGCTGATGAAGGTATGATAATGATGGCGTCAAGAGACACACAACATAAAAGCATCAGTCACAGTATGTATATTTCCAGCTGTTTATGTTGCTGTTGTCATAGTCATCTGAACTTCATGATTTAATCAATGCACTAAGACATTCTAATCTTAATCTGTTCACAAAACTAACAAGATGATCATTTACTAGTGCTCTGGATTTTAAATAGTGAGAGGAAGTGAGCATTTCTCTTCAGTACTTCAATAAAGGCAGCATTAAGCCATCTTGTTAGTAGTTAGTAATATCCCTGAACTCATCAGTTGATAGTTAAAACTTTGGAGTGGAGGCAGTCAGTTAAATAATATCAGATAAACTGACACAGTTTCTTCCATCCTTAGATGCTCTTCCCATCACATCATTTGTCATTGAACTGCCTAGTTTTCTGTTTCACAGTCAAATCCTCAGAGGGTTATCTGACCTTGGAATTAAACACTCAACCTACCACAGGTGGATGTTTGGGGTGACATTTAAAAGAGTACTGCATTTTTTTCAGAACTTTCAGTACAGAGAAGAAAGCATAATATCACGTTCTCAGTAAGATGCAATGTCACCATGTTTCTCCAAGTCAACAAGGAGCCAGAAGTAATGCCTTTAAAACAAACTCACCCAAGCAACAACCTCTTAAACACTGGAATAAAGCCAATCTGTTTATTTCACAGCCTATTTCTGTGCTATTGGATGTCTCCTTATAGCAAAGAATAAACTAGAGGGTGGGGGGAGGGAGTAAAATGCTAAGGAGAAGCAATGAAAGGGGATAAAAGATTATGATTCAGATGGTGGAGTTTATAGATGTCTCAGTAATTTATATCGTGTTTTTTGCTCCAGGATTCCATAGATATACATTTTTGATAATTTATTGTTCTATCATTATTACTGCTGACTAAATCTACTCTGTCAATCTAGTAGTTGGCTAATTTAAATCATGGTTTGTCATCTTAACAAACAGAAAATTATGCTAGCTAAGATTGGTTCAGTGGTATCTTTTTTCAACTTTTTTATTTATATAAAGTGAACAAATTTCATGTATACACATTTATGAGCATAGTGATATCTAAGAGGAATCATTTATATTTTCTTTACCTTTTATTCACAGAGCAAAGATAATCTGTAGTCATTCTAGTTTTATCAGTCTATGTGATTTTTAAAGGGATAAATGAGAAACATTTTCTTTTTTAAGAGTAGACCTTCAATTATACTTTTTATTGTCATAATTGCAGAATAAGACTAGTTTTTTCTCTGATATGAATTTTTTATTGAATTACAGAAAGCAGTTTTTTTTTAAATAAATTCTTTCATTGATTCTTTTCCTGAAATTTTCCTTCTGTTGTTAGCTGTCCACTCAATAGATGGTGCTCTTTTCTCAGAGACACTTTCTTATTTTATTGCTTATCAAAGTATCAGGGAAATTAGCTTTACTTTTTAACAAACATTAATTAAAGAAATCAGGCATATAAATAGGACAAGTCAATTACAAGCAATTTGCAGCACTTTGCTAAGGAAAGCATAACGGGAACAGTGATTATTTGTTAAAGGATTCAAGTACTCCACTGAAACCTGCGAAATACTTGCTGAATAGGTGAAGCAAACACTGTTAACTAAATATGAAAATGACACATTGGCTGCATACCTACAACCCCCAATGGGAAGAAACAAGCCTTACTAAGGAACTACGTTAAACAGCTAAAAATATTTGTTTACTTCTTAAAAAGTGAATATTTAGTATTCCACATTCACATGATGTGTTTGGTATACATATCAAGACCAACACAAACAACATCAATCTCATTCAATATTGAAAATTTGCTCACCCCTTGTCTAATGAAGCTGGAACATCTGGGAAACAGACAGTAAACCATAAATTCTTTCGAAATAATTTTACTAAAGACACATTTTCTTTTTCCCAGAGTGCCTATGACAACTTCCTATGTAACAGTTTCTAATGGAGAATTATGATGGGTCACTCTTCATCTGTTCCAATGTGTGGAGACACTGAAAAACAATTCTGTTCTCCTGAACCACCCTACCCACTCAAGATGCAGCTTGCAATTGCTGTAGCAGAACCACAGCTGTCAACTGCAAAGGGTGGAGGTAACAAAGTGACATTACCAGGGAGAGATACCAGGAAAACTTCCTCTGCCTCATGTGGCCTTAGGGTGGAAGCAGGAATAGGTACACGTGAAGATCAGGGGTGGGGCTGTCTACAGAGAAGTCCTCCTGTACCAGCAAAAGTAGGAAAGTTGCCACCTGAGTGGACTCAGCCTCCCAATTCGGAAAAAAATACACCTAAACGTCCTCCCCCATTCTTCACAACTTATGATGCCATAGCTCTTGCAAAGGGAGCCACCGTAGGACTCTGTGCCAAGAGTTTTCTTGTCTCTGTACAAGGGAGAGCTTCAACATGAAGCATTTTCCCCCAACTCTCACCCCCAGAGCTTTATGCCTTTTATCAAAACAGCTTCTCTGTTCCTGAATTTTTGGATTTTTTCTTTACCAGTGGAAGAAAAAAAATAGAAAAGTAGCTCCCCATCCACAAACACACACAGCAACTGCTCCATCTGGGGTCGCCCCCAACCACACGCTTAGTCTTGGGATGCAAGGGCCTTTTGGGAGCCCTTTTAGCCGCTGAACTCCCCGTTCACAGCCCTGGCGCCCTCCTTACCTGATGATCACGTACATGACCAGGAAGTTTCCGAAGAGACCCACCACGCACACGATGGAGTAGATGGCCATGATAGTGACGGCTGTGACCATGGAGGGACTGCCGGTCGGGGGGCACAGGCCGTCGCGTCCGCCCAGTTCGGTGCGGTTCGGTCCACACGGGTCGGACAGGTTGCTATCGAAGTGGGACAAATTGACCCAGGACCCGGGGCTGGGTGCTGGGGAGCAACTGGAGGAGTGCGCAAAGGGATCAGTGCAATTGCTTGCGCTCGCTGGGACGGCGCTGCTGTCCATGGTGCTGACGGCGCTGGGGAGCGGGAGGCCAGCTAGTCGGGAGCCTTGGGACTCGGACTCTGGGCGCTTCAGCCACTGGCTCTGGCCACGGCGGCCGCAGCTCTTTGCGGTTTCTTACCGGGACCAGCCTCGCGGAGCCAAAAGCAGCGTCAGGCAAAAGGCGACAGCGGAGCGTCTGACATTATCCTCTGCTGGTGGCCCCTCCCACCTTCGTAGTACACAGAGGCTCATCCCAACCCGGCACCACAGGGCTGAGGAGGGCAAGGCAGGCGGTGCGGGCTCCGCAGGCTGGAGGGGAGGAGGAGGGGGGAGGTGGATTTTGCGCAAAGCAATCGGAGGAGTTGGTCCTCACCCTTCGCGCTCTTGAGAGCAAACACCTCGAGGGCGGGCGGAGCTGGAAGGGAGCTGGAGGGGAGGGGTGGCCAGAGAGGAACAGAGCTACTTTTGATAGCAGGGAAGCATAAACGAGGGGGCTGATAGATCTCCATTTTTCCAGCGCCGGTTTCTCTTTTTAATCTACGAGGAAAGACACTGGCACGATATAACTCTAACAGCCCTTGAGCCCCAATGCCCTTCCATCTCTATGGCCCACCACAATTATTGGAGGTAGGGGGCACAAGATCCTCTTTCCTCTACATCGCCTCATCCGACAGAAGACAATCATGTCTTTGAAATTTCCAACTCTACAAACCTGTCTGTACCCAGAGAGATCCTTTATTTATTTATTTATTTATTTATTTACATAGAAAGGATCTCTATGAAAATAAATAAATAAATAAATAAACTTTGTGGAAGAAACCTGCTCCCTTTATTTTTCATTGTTTCAGTTTCTCTAAGAATAGATGTTCCATTTGCATCCTTCCATAGAATTAGGTAGATTGTGACATGCAAAAAAGTCAACTGAAGATATTACTGATCCACATCTGAGGTCTCCAAGACCCTTTCAGAATGATTATACATTCCATCTGCGAACATACCAGATAGGCGTATACTTTTCAGAAGAAGGCTGTTAAACCCAACAAATTTTGTTTTATTTCATTCTGTTTTCTAGTGTAGACATTCCAGGAGGAAGTACATAAACTTCTGCGATTGGAGTAGCCCACAAAATGTTCTCGAGGAACAATGATACATTAAAAAAATTTGTATTCACTTTTAAGTCCGTGAGCTCTTCCAATTAAAAAAATATGTAAATACAGTAAGAATATTATTTGTAAAAAACCAACACTAATTCTGCAGTAATTCTCATTTCTGTGCATGAAAATATCTTTTAGCCATAAACACTGGAAATAAATATTCCCAATTGCTGATGGAATAACTGCAGTGTTTTGTGAGCAGGGAAGAGGGAAACCTGAAATCAGCTTTTAATTCCAATATTACTTTTAGGCCATCTGTCTTGAAAACAGATAACTCAAAGGTAAGCTGTATTAATCATAGGAGATATTGCCAATGTTCAGTGTTATTTTTTATACTTTATTATTAAAGGGTGTAATTTCAGCAATAAGTTCTTTTCTGAAGACTAGTAAAAATGCCTAAAAACATTATAGACTTTGATTTAATGTGTCACCTCATTTGCGCTGAGCTCTGCTATTCATTCTGTCCCTTGAGGATCCATAAAACCAACCCATATAAACTTCAAAGGAGGACAAGTAGGCATGTGGAACTGAAATCCTGATATGGGAGGCAAATCATGTTGTGAATGAGCTTTGTCACTTTTTAGCTGTATGAATCTGGGAATGTTACTTTACCTCATGGAGAGACAGTTTTCTCCTCAGAGTAAGAATTTGAACTTTATGCTTCAACCATATATTCACAACCAAGATTGGTGTTTTCCTTCTGTTGTTCTTTCTCATATGTGACTGATGAAACACCTATATCAACAAGATACCCTCAGACTGAAGGTAAAGGATGGAAAAAGATATTCCATGCTAACAGAAAACAAAAAAGAGCTGGTATAGCCACCCTAATAGCAGATAAATAAACTTTACTAGGAAAACTGTTAAAAGAGATTAATAAGGGCACTACATAATGATTAAGGGATCAATTCAACAGGAGGATGTGACTATAATAAATGTATATGCACCTAATTACAGGGCACCTGGCTATTTAAATGAAATGTTAATGGATCTAAAGGGAGACATAGACTCCAATACAATAGTAATAGGGAACTTCAATACTCCACTTTCAACACTGGACAGATCAACCAGACAGAACATCAGCAAGGAAACAACAGAGTTAATCTACACTATAGACAAAATGGACCTAATTGATACCTACAGAACTTTTCATCCTACAGTTGCAAAATACACAATCTTCTTACCATTGCATGGAACTTTCTCTAGGATAGACCATGCAATGTTCTAAATAAATGCTAGGCCATAAAACAAGTCTTAGCAAATTAAAAAAAAATCAGAAAACATACTATGCATCTTCTCTAACCACAATGGAATGAAGCTGGAAATCAACAACTCAAGAATCTCTAGAACATTTGCAAAGACAAGGAGACTGAACAACATGCTCCTGAATGAACAGTGGGTCATTGAAGAAATCAAAAGAGAAATAAAAAAATTTCTGGAAATAAGTGAAGTTGATCTGTACCCCCATGTTTATTGCAGCTCAATTTACAACAGCTAAGGTATGGAATCAATCCAAATGTCCATCAAATGAAGACTGGATAAAAAATTATGGGATATGTATACCATGAAATACTAGAGTGGTAAAAAAAATGAAACCCTGTCATTCACAATAAAATGGATGAAACTGGAAAACATCATACTTAATGAAATAAGCCAGTCCCCAAAGGACAAATACCATATGTTCTCCTTCATCTGTGATAACTAGTAGAGCACCTAAAAGATAATCTATAGAAGTGAAATCAACACTTTAAGCCCTTGTCTTGACTGTTTAAGAAGCTTTTTTTCATACTATTTGTTGAACTCTTTACTTAGTATAGAGTTGAACATATGTGTGTAAAGTTAATTGAAAATGGATTTTAGTAAAAAATAAGGATAGGAATAGGAGAGGGAGGAGGAAGAAGGGTGAGAGTGTGGGTGGGAGGGTTGGTATGTTGGGAAGAATCACTATATTCCTAAAGTTGTACTAATGCAATGCATGAAGTTTGTATTTCTTAAATAAAAAGTTTCTGGAAAAAATTATCATTTCTTTATTTGGTGCAGAATTTTCTGGACAATATTGGGTGTCCTCCATTAAACTGTATTGACACTTATATTGCAGTATCTCCTATCCAGTCAATTTATATTTTGAGAAAACACAGAACAAATTTTATTTCTCTTTCAATAATATCCACTAAGACAGTCTTGAGAAACCAAGAGGTAGTGACATTAACTTTTTATTCTTATAACAGCTCTTCTCTGGGTTTGTTATAAAAACAATAAATCAGTAGTACTCAATGCATGGTTTAAAAAGACCTCATATTCTAGCTTAACTTATGTCTTAACTTCTTCTATAATTATACAGTGGTCTGAAAACTATTATGAAAGCTCAAGTGTCCCATCAAAATAAAATAGACTGTAAATAAATCAATCTATTATAATTCTAATTATCAATGTAGTTTTAGTATTGGTATAAATCTCACATCATACAAATTTTTCAGAAAAACAATTGTTTCAAAACAATGCTTTTAATCATAGCATGGATGTATCCCAGGAGAGTGCTAAAAGTCACCCGTTGCTTGAATTTCAAAACATGTTGGCTTTAGTAATTCATATAATTGCCATCATCCTATACTTATGTTAATAGCTTGGTCCTGATTTTTTGAGTGGGTGTTAATGGAACACATGATTAACAGCTATTAATGAGGAAGAACAGAGACATAAATACTATGCGTGAAACAATTTCGTGATGTGGTGCTCAGAACAAAGGGAACATCCAAGGTTAAATTGGCAGAACACTTCATGGATTTGTTTGTAGATATTTTCTATGTCATCCAGCATCTAAATGTGTATAGTTAATGGAATTAAAATACAATATTATCATTGGTCACCGGATTATTGCATAAAAATCTACTAAATTGGGGAGCCAGCATTGTGGCGTAATGGGCTAAGCCACCACCTGTGGTGCTGACATCCTAAGTGGGCACTGGTTTGATCCCTGGCTGCTTCACTTTTGATTGAGCTCTCTGCTATGGCCTGGGAAAGCAGAGAAGATGGCTCAAGTCCTTGGGCCCCTGCACCCACGTGGGAGACCAGGAAGAAGCTCCTGGCTTGTGGCATCGGATCAGCTCAGCTCTAGCTCTTGCAGCCATTTGGGGAGTTAACCAGCAGATGGAAGACTTATCTTTCTCTCTCCCTCTGCTTCTGCCTCTCTGTAACTCTGCCTTTCAAATAAATAAATAAATAAATCTTTAAAAAATCTAAAATGGAATAAATTCTCTTTATTTATATGGTATATACATGAATAAATAAATAAAATGTAAAATCTTCACATCAACTTCATCTGATAGAGTAGGCAAAAACCCTGGACTTTAAATAAAATAGAAGCTCAAAATTCAAGCCCTATTGTTTACTTTCTATGACTTAGTTAAACCATGAGTGCTGGTTAATATGGTCAATAATGTTTTGGTCAATGATAGAGCACACACTCAGTGATAGTGGTACCATGAGACTGTAATGAACCTGTAAAATTCCTATTGCCTAGTGTTATTGTAGCCACCATGATGTCATGTTGTGATGCATTATTCACATGGTTGTGGTGGTGCTGGTGTAAAAAACCTACTCTGCTGCCAGTCATACAAAAGAATAGCCCAAACATTGTGTACTCTACATAATACTTAACAATATTGAACTATGTTATTGATTTGTATATTTACATACTATATTTTTATTATTATTTCAGTGTGTACACATCTTTCTAAAAACTTGACTCTAAAAGGGTAAAAACAGTGTACTGTGTTATGCTGCCAGCAACCTCATAATCTTGTGTTAGTCTTCTTATTATATTAAGAGGTCACTTCTAATGACCACCCTATACCATCTATGCTTGTGTGAGTACATCCTATGACGTTCAGACAATGAAGAAACCACCTCCCAATGCATTTCTCACATCATATCTCTGCTGTTCAGTATGCATGACTATACAATAAAAATAGAATAAAATTCAAAGGAGTTCTGCAGTTCTACATATATATAATTATTTTGCATATTGTCTCATTTTACCTTTTTTTAAACTTTTATTTAATAAAATTAAATTTCAAAAGTACAACTTTTGGATTATAGCAGCTTTTCCCCCCATAACCTCCCTCCCATCTGCAACCATCCTATCTCCTACTCTTTCTCGCATCCCATTCTTCATCAAGATTATTTTATTTTTTTAATAAGATTTTATTTATTTATTTGAGAGAGAGAGTTACAGACAGTGAGAGGGAGAAAGAGAGAGAATGCCCCAAAGACCGCAATGGTAGGAGCTGTGCCAATCCGAAGCCAGGAGTCGGGTACTTCTTCCTGGTCTCCCACACGGGTGCAGGGACCCAAGCACTTGGGCCATCTTCTACTGTTTTCCCAGGCCACAGCAGAGAGCTGGACTGG